GGAAATGAAATCCTTATAAATATTTATTTACACATTTGAACTTCTTAATCATTATATTTATAAAAGCAATTATAATGAAATTGAACAAATATAATTAAGTGTATTTAGTTTGGGATCTCTTTTGGGATAGCTGAAACTGAAAGGCTGGATTATTTGAATACTGTTTACATTTACAGTTGATTATTGGTGTAATCAGTTATAATTAAAATCAATTTTTGTTCGGGTATGCTTGCTGAAAAGTGATTTCAATATAATGGAAATAGCTGAAGGAAAAAAATAAGTGGTTGAAAAAAATCATAATATACAATTTTTCAGATTCAAGAGAGCAAATTGTATTTATAAAAAATAAGTTGACTATAGATTCAGCAGATTTGCAAACCTTGTTTTTATATACATATATTCATGCACACACACAATAACAGCTTATAAGATAAAAACACACCTATAACCTATATCATGAGCTTTTACAAACATGCTGAGTAATCTTTCATTTTCACCCCAAATTTTTCCCCTTCCAACTATATTCTATTTCCCCCCAATTTATTTTCTTAGCACTATCTGGTTCCAATTAGACCCTTAAACAATTCCTGGTTTCAGGTACCATGTGCCTAGGTCTTGGCTGAAACCGTCAGAAAATCTGTTGGTCCTTTTTGAAGAACTTGGGGGAGATCCAACAAGGATATCTGTTGTGAAGAGATCAGTGTCCACTGTGTGTGCTGATGTTGGTGAGATTCACCCAAGCATTAAGAATTGGGAGATTGAAGGCTTCGGTGGGCCCAAGGAGCCACCCAAACCAAAAGTCCACCTCCACTGTGGTCCTGGTCAATCCATTTCCTCCATAAAATTTGCAAGCTTTGGGACTCCCCTGGGAACCTGTGGGACCTTCCAGCAAGGCCCGTGCCACGCTCTTAGCTCATACTCTGTCTTGGAAAAGGTATCAGCCAGATCCTGTCATTAAAAACCACCTTAGTGTCTGCTTAGTATGGGGCTGAATTGTTGAAGCTATATTGTTGAAAACATCAAATGTGGCTGAAATAGTTTAATATGCAAATCATCTAAAAAATCATTAAAAAAAATACTCCGTATATTTTAAAAAGATTTATTAAATTGGGCCTAGTTTACACGAAAAGCTTGAGATAATATTTATATCATTCCTATATATTAGCCACAAATCTGGTAAATGTGAAACACGTAAAACACTTTTGAGCTCAAATAGGGTCTGCTACTAGACAAATAAATCACGATCGGATATGGCTTTGATTATATATTAAATATATTAAATTGGGCCTAATTCACCCAAAGGATTCGTCAGAGGGTAAAGTTTATCTCATTTATATATTAACTAGGGATCTGGAACAATTGAAAAATAAAATAAAATAATACTCCGTACTACGTATCTAAAAAGAAATGTAAAAGTACCAGTTTCATCCATTTCACCCAAAAAAGTAAATTATGCATTACTTCTTTTCGTTATCAGGCGATTCTGCTATCCTGGTGACAATAGTTAGAGTTTGTGGAATAGATGACTAGTATGTTTAATAAGACAAACAAAGCTAAAGCCTACCAAACGGCCTCTGAATATCACTCATATTGCTAACCATAGTCTGATGTCATTTTATGTATTCTTATGATTGTGTTGTCTAAACTATTGCAGCGGTGTATTGGTCAAAAAAGGTGTTCTGTAGCAATATCAAATACTAACTTTGGAGATCCATGCCCAAATGTAATGAAGCGTTTGACTGTTGAAGCAACCTGCGCCCCTTCTCAATGGAATTGATGGAAATTGGTAAAATAGCCCACAAGGGACTTAATCAATCACTGAATGAAAGGGACATAGTAGAAAGAATAATAATTAGCACGGCTGATGGAGTGATTTATTATTTTTATTGAGTGTAAAAGTGTAAAAGGTAGGTAGTGTATAATTTAGAGGTGCCAAAGGGTCCTATTACTTCTTTGAAATACAAGGTGAGTGCATATTCTCGGCGGTTGTCTGGGAATGAGATATGTCATCCGACTGCTCCGGTCCATATCCGTTATTAACTGGAAGTGATGACCGGATGAGTTGCATTGTCTTATTGATTCAACACACTGATAGATTATGTGAACCTGAGGAGATTAAACCCCGCTCTCTTAGGTTCATGTTAAAAATGGATCCCAGCGTGTCCCTGTCCACAATTTGTACTGTTAGACTTCATTCATTTGTGTAGTTTGTTGAAATGCAAATTTGCATTTGTGTATGTCTCGACTCTCGATTAGTTAGCTCTAAACTCCAAGTAACTATCTGATTAGATAAATCATTATTTGTGTATCATTTTTAACATCATTTTACATTCCACCATTTGTACCATTACATGTAAAAATAATTTTAAAAATAAATATCACCTGGCCCTTTCTGCCAGTGTTACACGAAATATCTGAGCCAAACAAGTACTAAAGTCCAGGCTTCTTTTCATGCAGTCTTGGACTCGGGCCGGCTCGGGCCTGGCTGGGTTGGCGGTTCTGGAATGGGGGGCCCGGAACCGGCCCGGGTAATCCCCGGTTCGGGCCGGACCGGGCGGCCGGGCCTCGGGCCTTTGTTAAAATTTTTTTCCCTTTCCTATGGGTGGACCGGTTCTGGTTCAGGCCCGGTTCGGGCCTGGGCCCGGCCGGGCCTCGGTTCAGAAATGGGAAGCCCGGAACCGGCCCGGGTAATCCCGGGTCCGGGCCGGGCCGGGCCGGGCCGGGCCTCGGTTCTATTTTTTTTTGGCTTTTCCTAATTAACCCCCAACCCTCCCCCTCACCCCCAAACCACCTCAAATGGCCCAAAATACCAAGCCCAACCCAAAAACTTAAAAAAAATTCAAAAAAAAAATTAATTTAGCCCGAACCAGGCCCGAACCGGCCGGGCCGGTTCGCCAATCAAAGGGCCCGGCCCCGAACAGCATAGTAACCGGGCCGGGCTGACCCGAACCGCCCCCCCGGACCGGTTCCCGGGCCGGGCCGGTTCAAACAGTAACCGGGACGGGCCGGACTGCCCGGCCCGAGTCCATCCAGTTAACCCCCCCTCACCCCAAACCACCCCAAATGGTCCAAAATACCCCGCCACAGGCCCACAACCCAAAAAGTAAAAAAAATTGGGGAAAAAATTAAAAAGGCCCGGAACCGGGCCCGAACCGGCCGGCCGGTTCATGATTTGGGGGGCCCAAGCCCGGATCGGAACCCATGCGGTCCGGGCCGGAACAGTGCCGGTTCGGGCCGGTTCCGGGTCGGGCGACTCGGCCCGAGTCCAACCCTATTTTCATGATTTAGCGAGTATATTAACTTCACAATCCCTCATGTGCTGCAGCCTGCAGCAGCTCAGTTATAGTCTTATTAATACTCCGTATTACTTTGGGCTAGGCATGGACCGGTTCTGGGCCGGGCTCTGGGCCGGTCCAAACCAGGCTTTTTGTTTGTGGGTATAGGCCTCAGAACCGGCCCGGGATTCCATCGGGACCGGACCGGGTTTAATTTGTCCTTTTAAAGCTTTTCTAATTAATTCCACCCCCCAACCCCCCCCCCCCTCCAAAAAAAAAAAAAACTCCCAGCCCAACCTGCCTACCACCAAAAGTATTTGAAAAACAAAAAAAATATTTTTTTGGGCCCAAACAACCCGGAAAGTAGTGACAGCCCGGAACTGTTCCGAACAACCCCCGGGCCGGTCCTAGGCCCGGAACCGGTCCTGGTTAATCAGGCCGGTCCGGTCCTGCACAGTGGTGGGCCTGGCTGGTTCCTGGGCCACCCATACTTTGGCCTCCATTTCAATTTGGTGAGTTTGTGACTATCATTAGCATCATACTCTTATTTTTCCTTGTAACAAAATAGACATCACCAAATGATTGACAATAAAATAAAATTAGCTAATACTTTATTAGTTCTTAAGCGGCATTATCACATATTGGAATTCTACATTGGAACAAATATAACAACAGTTTTTATAATTATTTAATATATAATTTGTATATACTCAACATGTTATAATCAATGTTCTAAAAGGCGTAAAACGTGTCAAAGCGGCACGATCAAGCCATAAGCCTTCGGAGCCTAGGCGAGTTTAGGTGTGGCCTAGGCGTCAAAAGGTGTTTTGCGTTTTTACTAGTTATTTAGTTTTCTGGTTAGTTAGTATACAAATGTGATATTAGATAAAATCATGCCAAATAAAGTACACAATTCAATTTTATAACAAAAAATATACTTTTGGAGTTTAAAAAATCACCAATAGTAGTTGTGACTATGCTTGCTACAAAAAGTAGAACTAGATAAGTAACGGGATGATGAAATGACTAGCATAATAATCATAGAAATATTACCTAATCCGAAGTATATATGAACCAAGATAGTGAATATGAAGTAGTTATTTTAGTAATTGTTCAGGTTTTTGTAATTAGAGTAATTATGAAAGTGTACTCATAGTCACTTTAGTTGCATTTTTTTTTCCTTATTTTATGTTAGTAACATTTTAAGAGAAAATCATGATAATAATAGAAGTAATAATAATAATAGTACTAATATTATAATAGTAAAATTTATGTTTAGCATAATCATAGTGTAAAATAATGTTGTAGTAACATAAATTCCATTGAAAATATGGGACTGAGAATATGGGGGAGATGGGATTGCACAGTTGCACTACGGGTAAGCTTTTGTATTCCGTATGTGAGTTTTTAGTTTCCCACACTGGTTTGCAAAGGATATTCTTCCTTCTAGAGTCTTATAAAAATTCCTCCTCATTTCATTTGTAGCCGGCGACGATAATCATCGATGAAAGGTTCACTTGATGGGCTTTTGTATCGGTGCCTGTTGTTGTTACGGCAATGGCTATTTTGATGTTTGGGCCGCCGTTTATCACGCCTATAAAGTATGTGAGGCGTGTGATTGATGCCTTGAGCCTTGGCGGCGCCTTTTAAGGCCTTTTAGAACACTGGTTGTAATTGATAAAGAACACAAGTGTAAAACTATGTAAAACTAAAAGTATGTGGGATGCAAAGTTGAGAGCATAGATTAATTTATTGATTTATTCTTCAAAATTGAAGAGTAATCCGTCATCGCAATAAAATACAAAATTCTAACTCTCCATTAATTCATTATTATACTACCTATATAATAACGCTGAAAATTACTAAGTACTCCGTATAATCGATACTCTGATCAAGCAAGGCAGCAATAGCCAATAGGAGTTGTCAAATGATCGATAATATAATTAATTAATATTTAATAATATCTCTAATGATAACCATTATTTAATCAACAATTTCAATTTGAACTTTGATATGTGAATCATAAGAAGTAGTAGGAGATTTCATGCTGTGTTTGGCAAGAAGCTGCTGCAACTTGTCTTTCCTGGCTCCAACAAAAGACTCCAAAATTCTGCCTTCCTTTAGGAACATGAATGTTGGCATTCCCTTTACGCCCCAATCTTCAGCCACCAACTGCATATCCATCATAAACAAAACAAACTAATTATTTATCATCCTTCAAAGAACAAAAAAGAAAAAAAAAACGTTGAGCTATGAAACAGGAAACTCTCGGGAAAGAGTATGTTCCATTTCGGAAACTTTACGAGAACTCTTTAAAAACTATCCACCAAACACGTTTTTAAAAGATGGTGTTCTCGGTTTCCTGTTTCCCGATGCTTATCACGTTTTCGTGCAATATATAGGCGTTTAGTGCGTTCTTACCGGCAATTCATCCACGTCCACCTTGAGGAAGAGGACATCAGGTGTGCTTCTAGCCAAGGATGCTACGAATGGGGCTATGGTTCGACAAGGACCACACCATGAAGCTGTGAAGTCAACAATCATCTGTAGGTATACACCAAGAGCATATGAGTCAAACTGAGGCTTTCAAAGTTTAATGAATTATTTTATTGTGTATAGTTTTCGAAATTACTACTTCTGTCCTTTAAAACTTTACCATCTTTAACTTCTCTACTGATAGTAAAGTTTTGACAATAAGTTTGATTAGTAATGGTATGAAAGTTATAAATTTTATATTTTTATGAAAATATTTTTAACAAAATATATTTCACATCTATCTTGACAAAAAGTAATCTGATCAAAATAGTTATTCATTGAAATATATAAAAAAGGATGTACCAATCTTTTCTCTTGCATTCCCTGGGAGAGCACATTGTCCCAGGTTTCGGTAGTGTGGCAGCTTATGACATTTCCTCCGCTTTCCATTTTTTTCCCCATTTTTCTTCTTCTTCTAGTTTAAATTCTTTTTTTTCTTTTCTGTATGAAACTTGTCCTCCAGCACCTATAAATATATATATAAGGCCAGCTAGATTTCATGAGATGCCTTTATGTAGTTGCCAAAGTGTCCCACGCACCATCACATTCGATTATATATTCTTTTCCCACTTCTAGCCAATCGAATTATGTTAAGAAATTGTTTTAAATAGAAGTAAAAACGTTCAAAATTTTAAAATAGAGTAATTATTGTTATGTTTTGACTTTACCAGATTTAAATATGGTAATACTTTTCGAGATTAACATTAGTTACTCATATTCAAAGAATAAAAACATAATACGAAATACTATTTATATTATTATTATTTTTGGGAATTTTAAAACCCTTTGACTCCTATTTCGACAATTTCCTCATTATATTCTTACAGCTCAGAGAACATTTCTAGTAGTGCTTTCCATTTTCCGCAGGATTCATTTGACCCACTAACACCTCCAAAAGTGTCATTGTATTTGTATAATTCAAACAAGTTGGCAGCTTTATTAGTAGTGCAGCCAGTATTTTGAGGAATTAATGACTGAATTAGAATAATAATTCTGTCAAGCATTACAAAGATTGGTGTAGCACCCCACACCACATTTGGGTGAGCCCATCTGTGGGCTTGCTTGGCCTCGTGTCGAAGGCGAGGTCAGGCCCACACCACATTTGGGTGAGCACATTTGATTTCATATACGTCGATTCATGTTATTGTTGTTGTACAGATTCCAATTTAAATCCCAATCATACTTTTTTTTAAAACATTTCTTAATATTACAAGTGTTCTATGTCAAGACCATAAGATAATTCAAGGAAGGAGAGAAAAAATGTACTATCCTCCATTTCTTTAATGTATGAGATTTTTTTTTATTGGAAACACCTTACCAGTTTATTAAGAGGAGAGATAAGGATACAAGGTAGGGGTACATCGAGCCTAACCTACCGATAGCAATGCAAAACAAGATTACACAACATAGGGATAGGCAATGGCATCAAATTTGAGAATGTTTTTAAAACGGGAAGGATTCAACATCAACCCCAAGGCTAATAGCATTCGCCGCAATATTAGCAGATTCCGGTATATGACGTAAGAGGATTCGGTTTTGATGTAAAATCTTCCAAATGCAAGTGATAGAGTAGATCGATTCCCGATGATGCACACAGTTTAGATTGATGGACTGCAAGACCAATTGATTGGAGATTTCAATGATGTTTACGGTCTGCCCGTTGTGCCTGCAACAATTAAGAAAAGAGTGTAAGGCCTCAATGAAAGCTTTGTGTTTAGAGGTGTTGAAGAGGCTTTGAAAAAGATGGGTGACCAATCTCCCTTGGTTATTACGAATGAGGAAGCCAAAGTTTTGAGTGTGACCAACATTTAATGTATGAGAATTATATTTTAGAAATATTATTGAATTCGTCTCATTACAATTTTTCATGATTTGACTTTTAAATATGTAGTACAAACTACAAAGTATTTTTTGTTAATAGAGAATTAAGAGCCTGTTTGGTAATACCCAAATCAGATGTGTTGACTGATTCTGCTGAAATATATGAAGTTCTGACTGAAGTGGATAGATTGGTTTATTATGCTAATTTATGAAAATATTATATTTAAAATATATTTTATTAATTAAATAAATTAAAAATATAATAAAATAGCTAAAATGATCATAATTTCAGCCAATACAACAAGAAAAGTAATCAACCTTACCTTTTCTTATTACTACGTATTATACTATTCAGCGTGCGAAATAAAAAGTTATGTGTTCGGTGAAAATGTTGACTGATAAGCCCAAAAATGGAATCACCAAACGGGCTTTAAATACAAGTCACAATCGAGATCTTGGATTTAGTGATCACACATTGTTATGCTTGTATGAGAATTTTGTATATTTTTATCGGAAATTGTCCTAAATAGGACTAAAAAGTTCCTAAAAAGCACAAATTGGACTACTATTTTTAAAATTCCCTAAATAGGACTAAACATTGATTTTCTACCTAAATACCCCTAAGAGTATTAATTCATAATGAAATGCTTTAATTCATAATAAAATCACAAAAAACGTAAAAAATATTTAAAAAACGTAAAAAAATTATAAAAAAATTATAAAACATTTATAAAATAAAAACTTTAATTTTTTATTTTTTTAATTTTTTTAAAAAAATAATAAAAAAATAGTAAAAACCCATAAAAAATGAAAAAAAATATGGATACCTTTCTCACCGCCTCCCGCCGCCTCCCAGCACCACCACCTCCGATTGGTGAAATTTCTTCCACTTTTGGTAAAAAAATGCCATATTTTTCTGAAAATGCCAAAAAGATGGCATAATTACTCTTCAATATGCCAACATTTTCATTGATTATGCCATCATTATGGCATTATTTAAAATGTTGGCATATTTTTCTCCGGTGATGGGAGATGGTAGTGCTGGGGGTGGCAGGGGTGGTAATGTTTTTTTTTTTAATTTTATGATTTTTTTATTTATTTTTTATTTTTTAAAAAAATTATTTTTTTTTACTTTTTTTAAAAATATTTTTATTAATTTTCTATTATTGTTTTACAATTTTTAGTATTTTTTCGATTTTTATTAATGTTTTTATGATTTTATTATTAATTAAAACATTTCACAAGTTACAAGGGTATATTTGTGCAAACACACATAAATAGTCCTATTAAGGGAATTTAAAAAATGTAGTCCTATTTGTGCAATTTTGCCACTTTTTAGTCCTATTTAGGGAATTGACTCTATTTTTATTTGTTATAATACACATTTAGCTTTGGGTCTTTTCACACCCCCACCCCATATAGCATCACTCCAGTCGCCATGGTACCGCACAAAAAAACTTTTTTCTTTCCACTATAATATACTTTCTCATCTTTTGTAACTTTTATGCACATCAAAAGTTCACCATTAATATTAAGGTAACAACTTCAGTAACCATTTAAAAAATGAGGTACTGTATCCATGTATTTGATTGGTCCAAATCATTATACTCTTTAAAATTTAGATTTAAATAATTCAACTGCATCATTTTGATTAGTCTATGTGAACAAAGGTATGGTACCTTTTGGGTACCATAGAATCTATCTAATATTAATGCACAACAAAGGTAATATAGTGCTCAGGAACTTGATAGTGGCAAAAAGACAAATTAGTGTTCTTACATGGAAAATAAGATTAATTTGAGTGATACGACTCATAAGCTTAAATTTGAGCATGCCAAATCATACAATGCTACTATAAACCCTCCATCACATGTCTTGGAAGTCCAACAAATCAATATTAGACTGAATGGAGATGAGCAAACAGCAACTAGACACAGATCATCTTCTTGAAACAGTAAGAGCCAACAAGAAACCAGCCAATAAGAATGGCAATAAAGATTGCCAAGTAAATCAGGAATGCCCATCCGCCTAAGGTCAATCCTAAACCAGACACTATAAGAAAAGGTAAATATGTTTTCAAGATGGAGGTTTTATTAACCCATTGTCCGTGGAGCGCGATAAAAACGGCAACATTAACCACATTCCAACCCCCGCCTTGGAAACTCAGCCTGTTTAGAGCATTGGCCACAAATGAGTGGCAGTTGCAAGTGAGCAGGTTATAAGATCGGTGCTGGTACTCTGCTGTGCTCTTATGCAACGCCCCATCCCACGTTGCCATGTCATTCCCATTTTCGTTGGCTTCTTCCCTTTCATATGGAATAGGATGGCGAGATACATGACACTGCAGATCAATTGAATAAAGAAAAAAGGAAATTAGAAGTGTTTAAAGGCACATCATGGCAAACCAATGATTAGAACTTAGAACCTCAAACAATATCTCAAACCTGTTTAACTTTAAATACTTTGTGAATTTATATTGTTAGTTTATGTCTTGTTGGGAGCAAGCAATCCCTATGCGAGAGCTAGGGAAATCATTGACACACAAATACTAATTTTTGTGCCATGAGAACGGCTAAGTTTGAAGAACATGTTTATGCATATGCTTCACTAGCACATACTGACAACTTATCATGAATGTAGCTATCAGCTATGTTCATATGACAATAGTGCCTTACACATACCATGAGCAAGAATCAGAGACTCTTTTGGTGTATAAGTCATTTTTATAAGCATTAACACACGTCATATTATATCATGCTATAAATTTGAAAATTTCGAACCCATCATCTTTATTAAGGTCGCAAGACTCATGTTGTGCACTGTTTTAATTTAATATTTTTAAAACCAAAGTTTAAAAACAATGACATTGGATTAGCTTTATTTTCTATCCCGGTTTTTCAAATTTTAGGAACTTATGAATTAAATGCATCCTTCAACCACCCGAAATGATATTTGTTACTTGTATTAGGGAAAAACGGCCTGAGAGGCCACAAAAAGAAAAGAAGTAACATTTCTTATAATCAGATCAGATTAGAAGCATTAGAGCATATACCTCATCTTTTCTAATTTGAACATAGCGAGCAGGTGCTCCAAATGCAAAACTGTCTACACAGACAAAATTTGGTCCGGCAAAATCCAAGATTACACCATTCTCTCTACATATCCCAATGTGACCAATAAGAGGGACAAACCATGATAATACAGGAATTGGTGTCCACACAATGCAGCTAGGAAACCGATCTCTTCTTGCATCTATTGATATACTTTCTTCAATCATGAGAGAATGTTCATCGTCAACTTCTAGCTTTAACATTGCTGTTATAGATAGTATCCATAGAATAAGTTTCACATTTGTGGTAATATTAAACTGGGCATAACTGGTTTACCTTACACTCACATACTAGCACAAATGTGGTCAACCTCAAATGACCAGACAAATACACAAACAAAAAATCCAGGTTAAATTAGGCTTAAAAAGAGGTGAAATTTATCTCAAGCTGATAAATTAGATAACAATCTAATAGATATCGTCACACACTAAGACTTAACCTCTACTTTCGAATTTCATTATTTTAACAGTTTAAGTATAGTGACATTTCCGATTAAAATCCATTCTATTATTACATAGACTCATAGATCACATCTTACCAATACTGATCAGTTTGACCGGGAAGCCTCACAATCTCCGAGCAAAAAACACAGAATATAGAAAAAATCAACAGAATGCAAAGGAAAGAGCCGTTTTAGGATTTTAGTAGAACAAAAACCAGACATTATAAGGTTGTATAATTATTTTTAGATCCGGTGAACAAAACAGAGTTGGGGAAGGGGAGCAGTAAGCGATTCTACCTTTGGATGAATGACGAGAAATCAGCTGTTTTTAGAATCGTTTCTTAGCTGATCAGCAGTTCATCGATGCGCGCCGGCTGACCGGCACGGGATAGCCTTATTTCTTTCAGAAGAGAAGTGGTTGTTGTAATGTTGTTGCTGGTAAAAGCAAGGAAGCTCAAGTCAAGCTCAAATGTGAGCCTCAATGCTATTCAAATGCGAGTAAATTTATAGATAAAAATAGAGAATATTACGGGGACTAAAAATGTTTTAAAATTTCAAAATGAGACTGTCATGTTTTTATTCTCAAAATAGGACTAATTACTACGGAGTATCATGTTTTGGCAGTACCAGACTTCAAACATGGCAGTAATTTCCAAACTTGGCAGTAATTACTCCTATTTTGGGAATAAAAAACATGTTAGTCCTATTTTGGAATTTTCGAACTCTTTTAGTCCTATTTCGGGAACTTTCCCATAAAAATATTACTACATTCCTCCCGAAAAGTTTCGCCATATTGACTTTTCTTAGTCGATGTTAACGAACTTTAGACAATGATTTAATTATTATATTTTTATAAAATTTATAAGTTTTATACTTTTAAAACTTATGAAGTTCGGGCTGAATTGACTGATTCTGTTGAAACTTATGAAGTACTGGCTGAATTGGCTGATTTTGCTAATTTATAAAAAGTTATATTTAATTTATTTTATTAATAAAACAAAGAAAAGTTTTATAAAAAATAGATAAATTGATTCTCTACAGTAGCTTCAGCCAATACAGTCAGAAAAGTAACTTCAATCTCACTTTCTCTTATTATTATACAACTCAACACGCGAAATCAAATGTCATGTGTTTGGTGAAAAACTTGACTGATAAGTTTGATAAAACGAAAAATCAAGGTCACCAAACAAGGTGTAAGTAAAGTCATTTTGGAAAACGTTTTTGGGACATACTAGGGAGTATGATACTCCGTAGCTACTATTGGTCTTTTAAAAGGCGTTACAAGCGGCAAGATGTTAAGATTAAGGATGTTTTTGTTTGGACTGAAATTTGTAGGTCTTCACTGGTCTGGTCTGGTCTGGTAAATGTTTGCTCTTTGTGAACTTTATAATTATGAAAATCTGGTCTGGTCTGGGACTGAAGACAGTCCAAAAGAAAATATTCTAAGCCTCAAAGTTTTGAAGCCTAGACGGGAATAGGTGAAACTTAGGTGTGAAAAGGTATTTTAGATTTATTGATAGTTACTACGGAGTATTTTATACTCCCTCCGGCCTTCGTCCCGTATTTATGTTTACACTTTGATTTTTTGAGTCAAACTTTGTATTCTTTGACCGTTAATTCTTTAAAAACGTATTATTTTATAAAATATCGAAATAATTTTGAATGCTTCATTTTAATATACATTATTGAAATGTTGATTTATTATAAGTTTTATAATTGTATACTTTTACATATCAATGGTCAAAAAAAAAAACAATGGTCAAACATCAACTTTGGAGACCATGCAGTGTTGAATATAAAATTAGGATGTTTTTACTTGGACCGTAATTTGCTGGTCTGGTTTGATCTGGTCTGGTCTGAAGTCTGAAATGATCTGGTCTGATAATGTCTGATCTCATTGTATTTTTATAACTATCCAAGTCTGGTCTGGTCTGAACTGGTATGGTCTGATCTGGGGCTGAAAACGGTCCAAGTAAAAACATCTTTAGTTAAGGGACGGAGGGAGGGAGAGTATTATATGAAGAAAAAATGTCAAAAATATATTACTACCTCTGTCCCTAAAAACTTTGTCATCTTTAACATGTCAAGTCGATCAGTACTGTATGTTAAAGTTTGGACCATGACTTTGATTGAGATACTATTACGAAAAATGATAAGTTTAATATGTTGATGAAAGCACTTTTAACAAAGAGTATTTCCATATATTTTTTATATCATATAATTTCCTATAAAATATATATTTGATCAAAATTGAACATAGTTGACCAAAAAATTCAAAGATGGTGAAGGTTAAATGGACGAGGGAGTATACAAAAGCGAGCCTAATTTTTACTTTAGTCAATATATATACTACATAATTTTTAAATGTGTAAAAGTCAAATAAAAGTCTATAACAAGTTTATAAAAGTATTTTTTAAAACATTACTACACCATTTTAGATTCCATATGAAACAAGTTTATAAAATATTTTTAAAACATTAATCAATTCTTTATTCGCAAAAATGAAAACATTTCCGCGATTTTAGATTTAACCAATTTTAAATCTCTTCACGTCTTTGGTGGTCAACTCTTCAGTTGATTGCTTTTTCCATACATTTCTAATATGCATGGATCTACCCCTAAGTCCACATGGATAATTTAGGATGTTTTTATTTAGATTGAAATTTGTTGATCTGGTCTGATCTAATAAATGTGTGGTCTCTATGTATTTTATGAATGTCCAGATCTAATCTGATATGGTCTGTGCTGGTTTGTTCTGTTTTATTCTAGTGTGGGACTAAAAGAGTCAAAGTAAAAACATCCTTAATTAAATATAAGCTAGTGAAAACTTGGAACAATAATGACCCAAGATCGAACCCCTGTAACGACAGTGTGGAAGCAACATCTCGAATGGAGGGGGCTCCTTGTGTGTAATAAATACTGATCTAGACTCTATGGTTATTTTAACTGAGTAATTATAATCAATAATCCACATGCTATCTTGAGGCGTGACAGAGGATGCTTAAGGTTGGGATTCAATATTTTGGAACAATAGATGAGCCCCTCCTGCACTTTTGGCCTATTTGAGAAATTCTTTCTCTTTTTTTTGGATGAAATGTAAATATATATTAACACCCAAGCAAAATAACATTACAATGTGTCCAAAAATCTAGCCCCCCCCCCCCCCCCCCCCCGGTTTCAAAGGAAAACAAGGAGAGGATGAAGAGAGATTAATCATCTAGTCTAAGACAATACGGCCAAAATGCAAAAATATGCGACCAGTAAGTCAAAGAAATAAAAAACTATGAATGGCACGGCAAGGTGCACGCACACTAATCCGATTTATAGTCGATGTAGTGGCATCACATAAGGGAGTTGGCCAACTTCTCACATGACCTTGTGTCACTTTGTCACCTCCCTTTACCCTAGATTTGGTGCACAAGCCTTTTTGAAAAAAAATATAGAGCACGTTGGCATGCTAAGAAATGAACACACTGACGTTATAATGACTATGATTCATTCATCTGAATATTAGGAGAACCTCCATCAGTCATCATGTCAATGTGCACTTTAGTGAGCATACTAGTGAGCATACTTTAGTGAGTCAATGGTATTATACCTAAAATTAAAAATGCATCTCATTAATATATACAAAGTATATGCTGATTGTAACATTAGGTAAAATTTGAATTTTTTTTTTTGAAAGGAGGTAAAATTTGAAATTAAGAAATACTACATTCTCATACAAAGATTATGGATAGTATCGGTGTCGCTACTTGTACACATTTATTGTACACACTACCTAGTTGTCTGTGTACACAACAACTTCTGAACTATTTGCATGTATAAACATACAAGTAGGGGGGGTGTACAAGAAATGTGGACAACTAGTTTTTTCCAAAGATTATTGGGGTGTAATAACTAATGAATGTAAAATTTTTTGATTAGTATTGAATGGATAAAATGTAAGTTGTAAAAGTGATTTTAAACTACGCAAATATCATAAAAATATGATATGAGAAGAGCTTAACCGACAAAAAGTATAAGAAAAAATAGTATAAATAAAGATATTAAAATGAGGAGTAATAATGATTTTCTTTACTTGAACTTATTCAATTCTAGACAAGATTATAGCAGATCAAACTTAAATAGATCAGAACAGACCAAACTATAATAGCCTAGAATAGACTTAAATAGATCACAAAAACATTTAATAGACTTGACCAAATCAGAATTTTACAGTTTTAAAATACATAGAGATCATGTATCTATGATATAATCATACCAGATTTAAACAGAGCACATCAAATGAGACCAAATTAAAACAAATCATAGTGAACTAAAAATCTTAACTTGATGTCCAGGCGAAAATAAACTTTTTCGTTTCCTCGGATTGGTGTACAAGTATGTAAAGCATCATGGCGGGGCATGTAGTAGAGAAGGAGGAATGAAAAGTGGGCAGAAACGTGCATGATCATAGGAGTTAACAAAAGCAACTGTACGCATATAGTACAGTAAAATTAAAAGCGGTGATATAGAGTGGATGAGCTAGGGAGGGGCATGAGGGGGAAAGTGCCCCCGCTTCGGGCAAATTTTGTAAGTACCACTACTTATAATATATTTAATGATCCTCATTTTTTCAAAAATAAATAACAATTGAGGATAATTTTAGATTAAGTGTTAAAATAAAAGGCAAATTTAGTCTTTCAGGAAACATGTGCGTCAATAGGAATATATGTATTTGAGGAAGCGGCCGACTCACTCACCCTTATGGGAGGTCTCGGGTTCAATTCTCAATGGGGTGAGATTGATCCAAATTTACCCCAGCCCCCCCCCCCCCCCCAAAAAAAAAAAACCTCCCCCGACGCTCTACGGGGTAAAAAAAGAATACAAATATTGACTGCAACATACCACACTCATTTGAATGCAAGTGTGGATTGTTTTAGACATTTAATGACACACGGGTTGTCTTTTCGTGTCACATTTCTTGTAACAAAAAGATCAAAACATTCTCGAGACTATGTTGGATTCCCTCCTTAGTGGAGAAATTCATGAGAATTTTAGATTTTTTAGAGATGTCCAAGATTCTATATATGTGTGTAGAGAAGTATTGAATGTTTATAATAATGTTGAGTTTTCTAGAGAAGTGTGGAACTCACTAAAATCGTGTGGAAGTGTTTGGAAGCCTCTAGAACATTTATATGAGAACTTTGAGGAGAGCTCTTGAGTGAGTGAAAGTGAGTCTCCTTGAAAGAGGAGAGTGAGAGCCTTCTTGTGAGAGAAGAAGGCTCAAAGATATCGTTTGATGAAGTGTGTGATCAAGTTAGGTACAATGAATTATTCTCATATACAAAAAGTGAGTGAGGATAATATAAAGTGATTGAGTTTTTGTATTATGAGCATGTGGATATATAAGTATACAAGAGTCTATGAGCTCGTGATCCTGGAAAATGATGGGGGTCGTGTTTTTCCAACATAGGACTGCCAAGTTTTTTATTCCCAAAATAGGAGT